TGAGCTCCAGTGGCCCCAGCTTGGCTGATGTTACATTTTTATAGTTGTAAATTCGTTGATTGGTGGGAGAGAGTGACGCTGGGGACTGTCTAATCAGCCATCTTGACCAGAACTCTTATTAACTAATTCTTAAAATTAAGATTAACTTTAATTCAAAAACTGATTCTTTGAGCTACATGGACAGTTGAACTTCCCTACCACTCCTCTCATCAGCTTTCATTTATTCATTAACCTTTTTTTTTTTTTTGGCAGCTAGTCGGTACAGGGATCTGAACACAAGCTTTTATTTAAATAAATATAAAAATTAGGTAAAAACATTTCATTATACAGTAAAAAATGGGACAAGATGTGAAGGTCTTAGGGAAAGCTTACCATGCTAAAAAAGCAGAAGTAACCAGATAGTACCATTAAACAGTGAGAGTAATGTGACCAAAAACAAGTTGCCAGCACCAATACAGATGTGTCCCTTTATTCAACAGCATGGCCCGTGTGGCCTAAAAAAGACCCATACGAATCCCCCAGATGAAACTGGGGGATTTTTAAAAAAGCAAACAAATTCTGGGGAACACAATTAAGGGGGAAAAATCCAGTTACAGAAAGCTTCTCATATTAGCAGACAGGTATGCTTCATGATGTAGAAAGTCAGACAGTCGACCAAACAAATTCTGAAGACTCGATCATTAATTCAACTAGAGTCCTTAACAGTAATAACACAAATTAATCTGTTACTATATAACATATATCACAGAATATAATCTAAGTTATTAGAAGTTATTCCAATGGCTGGATTTTTATTATTTATAATTTTGCAAAAATGTTCTAATCAAGGGCTGACCCTGTGGCGCACTCGGGAGAGTGCGGCACTGGGAGTGCAGCGGCAGGAGTTCGGATCCTATATAGGGATGGCCGGTGCACTCACTGGCTGAGGGCGGTGTGGGCGACACCATGCCAAGGGTTGCGATCCCCTTACCAGTCACACACAAAAAATGTTCTAATCAAAGTGGTGTAAGCTCCAGGATTCTAGCTTCCAAAGATGTGTTTTTATTTCTGACTGACTGTATCCTGAAGAAATCAAAGTTCTTCACAAGGCCAATTGACCATCTCTGGTTACATCGTATCTTCCTGGGTATGTGCCTGACTCTCTCTGTTCAGGCCTTCAGAGCCATTTATATTTGTGTAACAGATGACTTGGAGATGCAACTTAAAAAAAGCAAAACATAAAACACAAAAAGACTGGGGAATAGTTACAAGTAAATTAATTTTATGCAGACAGAAGGTTTTTTTAAATGCTATTCCCGATTTGGTGGAAAAAATTAGGAACTTGCTACTAAACTGTTTTAGAACAGTTACTTATGTTGCTCATTTTCTGAGGTTTCATTCCAATGAGAGTTGCACACTGTCAGCTTGGTTTTGTGGCTGCTGATAGTCATACTTCCTTGCTATTAAAACAACAA